TCTCTCTCTCTCTCTCTCTCTCTCTCTCTCTCTCCTTGTTTCCCTCCCACATCTCCCCCCTCCTCCTCCTCCTCCTCCTCCTCCTCCTCTTCTCTCCCTCCTCCTCCTCCTCCTCCCCGTTTCCCTCCCCTCCTCCTCCTCCTCCTCCCCGTTTCCCTCCCCTCCTCCTCCTCCTCCTCCTCCTCCTCCTTTTCCTCCTCCTCCTCCTCCTCCTCCTCTTCTCTCCCTCCCTCTTCCTCCTCCTCCTTTTCCTCTCCCTCCTCCTCCTCCTCCAACTCCTCCTCCCTCCCCCCGTTTCCCTCCCCCACCCCCTTCACGCTCCAAACCCGTCGACCAGGCGTGATCCGGGACCTCCGCGCCGCCTGCCAACCTGGGCGCGTTTCCCACGGGATCTCAAAACCGGGCTGGCGAGGTGCCGCTAGGGGAGACGTGCCTTTTAAGTTTTTAAGTTTTTTTTCCCTCTGTGTTTTTTTTTCTATTTTCTTTTGTTTTTTTGGTTTGTTTGTTTTTTCTCTTTTTTTTGGGGGGGGGGAGTTTTTTCACATTTTCTTGTTTTCTTTTTGTTTTCTAGTTTTTTTTTTCTGTACTTCTGATGTGTTTGTTTGTTTGTTTACTTTTTTACTTGTTGGATTTCCCTTTTTTTCCTCCATCTTTTTCTTTCCCTTTCGTCATATTTTTCTTTTCTTTTTTAGTTTTTTTCCCCCACAATGTTTGGGTTTTCTTAATTCTTATATATGGTTTTGGGAGAGGATAAGATAGAAAAAAAATAAAGATTAAAAAAATATATATTAGTTTACGGATGTTTTATGGTGAATACGGTTTTCTTTGGCCGTTTTTACTGCCTGACATTGTCTTAGGAGATATGATAAATGTAATAAAATGGAAATAAAGCCAAATGAAGAAAAAAAATATATATATAGCGGGAAAAATAAAGGGAGAGAGGAATACATTTCATGAGAAGGAACGAAGGAAGGAGGGACTTGAGGAAGGAAGAAAAGAGGGAAGGAAGGAAGGAAGGAAAGAAAGCGTGGAGAAAGATTAAGAGAGAAAAAGAGATAGAGAGAGAGAGAAAAAAAAGAAACAAAGATCGAGCGGTTTCTTAACACTCCTCCCCCTCCCCCCCAGAAGAATAGAGGAAAATAAAAGAGGGAAAATTCCTACCGATGGTTATGGGGGGGAGGGGGGAGGGAGGGATGAAGGAGAGAGGGAGAGAGAAAAGAGGGAAGTAGAGGAGCAGGGAGAAGGGAGAAGGGAGGGGAGAAGAGGAGGAGGGAGAGGAAGAAGGAAAAGGAGGGAAGGAGCAGGAAGAGGGAGAAGGAGGGGAGGAGAGGGAGGGAGGGAGGGCATGTGAGGAGGGGAAGGGGGAGGGGGGAGGAATGAGGGACCATAAAGGAACTATAGGATCTTTCTTCGCGGATCCTTGGGGGGGGGGGTTGCGGCCATAAACTTGGACAACGTCTTCCTAGGTGTCCTTCGAGAGCTGGGGCGGGGGGGGGGGGGGATTGTGTGGGTTTCGAGTGTGTGTGGGGAAGGGGGGAGGGGGGTTGTGTGTTTGTGTATGTGTATGTGTGTGAGGACGCCCTGAGTGCGCGCGTTCATGCTTTCTCTCTCTCTCTCTCCCTCTCCCTCTCCCTCTCCCTCTCCTTCTTCTTCCCTCCCTCCCTACTCCTTCCCTCCCCCTCTCTCCCTCTCCCTCATCCTCTTTCCCTCCCCCTCTTTCCCTCTTTCCCTCCTTCCCTCCCCCCCCCCCCCCCTCTCTCTCTCTCTCTCTCTCTCTCTCTCTCTCTCTCTCTCTCTCTCTCTCTCTCTCTCTCTCTCTCTCTCTCTCTCTCTCTCTCTCCCTCTCCCCTCCTCTCCTCTCTCTTCCTTCCCCTCTCCCCTCCTCTCCTCTCTCTTCCTTCCCCTCTCCCTCCCTCCCTCCCTCTTCCCCTCTCTCCCTTTCCCTCCCTCTTCCCCCTCTCCTTCCCTTCCCCCCCTCTTCCCTTCTCCCTCCCTTCCCCATTCCCAAAGCCATCAGAAGCACGCCAAGGAAGCGAGGACGAAGAGCAGACACAGGAAGTCCCGTAAATAGGGGATTTTAGGAAGTCATGTTGGGGTCAGCGACGAAGGAAAAGGACAGGGAGTCAGATCGTGGGAGTTCTGTGGTGGGGAAGGGAGGTGGGAGGGGAGGTGGGGAAGGGGAGTGGGGTGGAGGGAGGTGGGGAGAAGGGAGAGGGGTGGTGGAGGGAAGGGAGAGGGGTGGTGGAGGGAAGGGAGAAGGGAGAGCGGTGGTGGAGGGAAGGGAGAAGAGGAGGGGAGGGAGGTGGGAAGGGGAGGGGAGGGAGGTAGGGAGAGGAGGGGAGAGGACGGGGGAGGGAGTGGAGAGAGGTAGAATATGGGGGGGGGGGGTGATGAGAGGTTGAGAGTAAATGGGGTAGAAGGGAGGAGAGATGGGAAAAGAGGACGGAGTAAGAGAAGAGAGGGCAAAGAGGGGAAGGAAGAGTAGGAGAGACGGAGAGGAAAGGGAAGGGGGAATAGAGGAGAGAGGGAGGGAGAAATAGAGAGAGCAGAAAATGAAGAGGGGAGGGGAGGGGAGGGAAGGAGAGAGACGAGGAGAGGGAGGGGAGGAGAGAGACGAGGAGAGGGAGGGGAGGAGGAGGCAAAAGAGGAAGGGAGCATTAGCGTAATGGTCGAAAAGGGAAATTTAGCGAGATTTAGGGAGGTTGGTAAACAAAGGCGGGGATTTGGTTAATGTTTTTTTTCTCACCCCGAGGGAGGGAGAGAGAGGGAGAGGGAGGGAGGGAAAGAAAGAGAGAGAGAGGGATAGAGAAAGAAAGAGGGATAGAAAAAGAAAGAGGGATAGGGAAAGAAAGAGGGATAGAGAAAGAGAGAGAGGGAGAGAGAGGGGTAGAGAAAGAGAGAGAGAGAAAGAAAGAAAGATCAAGAAAGGGAGAAAGAGAGAGAGAAGGAAAAGAGGAAGAGGAAGAGGAAGTCCGTGAGAGACTTAGTTATTTTGTGGTTTTGGATCAGTATTTGCCCGCGCGTTGAATGTCTCTTGAGAACTGCGGTCGATTTTACGCCGAGGAAGAGGAGTTTGGTGGATAAAAAGAGAGAGAAAAGAAGAAAAGAAAAGGGAAGAATAGGGAATTTAAGAGTGAGATAGGGAGAGGAAGGGAGAGTGAGAGAGAATTAGGTAGAATTAGAAAGAATGAAATAGATAGACCAAAAAAAAAAAAAAAACGAGTGACAAACAGACAGACAGACAAAAGAGTAACAGAAAGACCGAAACTCCGACAGACAAACAGACAAAGCGAACACGTGCACCCCCTCTCCCTCCCTCCCTCACCCCCTCTCTCTCTCTCTCTCTCCACCCACCCACCAAACGCCAAAATAAACAAACAAACAAACAAAGGACGCAGTACACCCCTTCACCTCCCATTCAGCATCACGCCCGAGGAGAGAGAGAGAGAGAGGGAGAGAGAGAGAGAGAGAGAGAGAGAGAGAGAGAGAGAGAGAGAGAGAGAGAGAGGGGGGGGGGGAGACCTCCTTATCGGCCCTTATCCCTCAGAAGGAAATCATCAGTAGCAACAGTATATGCCTACCGGTGTGTGTGTGATTGTGTGTGTGTGTGTGTGTGTGTGATTGTGTGTGTGTGTGTGATTGTGTGTGTGTGTGTGATTGTGTGTGTGTGTGTGTGATTGTGTGTGTGTGGGTGTGTGTGTGCGTGTGTGTGATTGTGTGTGTGTGTGTGTGTGTGTGTGTGTGTGTGTGTGTGTGTGTGTATAGTAGTAGTAGAGGGAACGGCAGTAGGACGGCGTGGCGAGGTAGTCCTAGGCGGTGGAATGCGTTAGGGAGAAGGGTCGTGGGGGTTTATGGGGGGGGGGGGTGTAGAGAGGTGGAGGGGGTTGGGTGGGAGGGAAGAGGGGGAGGGGGAGGGGTTAGGATTTGGGGGGAAGGGAGGGGGAGGGGGAGGGGAGAGGAAGGAGACGAGAGAGGGGAGAGGTGGGGGAGGGGGAGGGGACTGAATGGGGGAGGATAAGAAGAGGGGGAAAGGTAGGGGAGGGTAAGAGGAGGGGGAGAATAGGGGAGAGGAGAGGGGAGAGGAAGAAGACGAGGGAGGGATAGGGGAGGGAATGGGAATTGGAGTGAGAGAGGAGGGGGAGAGAATGAGGTAGACAAGAAAGCAAGGGAGGATAGGAAGAGGAAAAGGAAGGGGAAGAGAGGGGGAAGCAAGAATGTAAGGGGAAGAGAGAGAATGAGGAAGAAAGGATAGGAAGAGGACGAGTGGGTGGAAGGAGGAGAGAGAGTAGGGAACAGAAGGAAGAGGAAGAGGTGGAGGAGATAAAAATAAAAAAAGGAAGGAGGGAGAGGAAGAGGAAGAGGAAGAGAAGAGATGATTAAGGAAGAAGGTAAGAAAGAGGGAGAGAGGGAGAGGAAGACGACAAGGAAGAAGGGAGAGAGAGAGGGGGAGGTAGGCAAGGGGGAAGGGGGGGGGGCTGAGGAAGGAGAACGGGATTGGGAGCGTTAGGGGAAGGAGGGAGGAGGGAGTGGGAGGGGGAGGGGGGAAGGGGGAGGGGTCCGGAGCCTGCCTGCCTGCGTGCTCTGTGATTACTGTCGGCAGCGTGTCCTCCTCCTCCGCCGGTCCTGTCCTGGTTCGTTTCGGAATTTATGAAGGGCTCGGGCTCCTCGGTCGGGCCTGCGTCTGTGTGTGGGGTGGGGGGAGGGGGAGGGGGAGGGGGGAGCCCTGGGGTTGCTTTTGTCCGTCTGCGTTGTTATTATTGTTATTGGTATTTTGTTCGTTATTTTTTTATTTTATTTATTTATTTTTATTATTATTTTTTTTTTATCTTTCTCTCTACCTTATTATTTTTTCCCATCTTCCTTTGATTCTCTTGCTTGGGAAGAATCATTTCGACACTCGTTGATTTTAGGCGATCCAATCTACCTGGATTTTCTAACAATGATCATTAAAGGATAAATGAACCGGAGCCACCTTGTAATTAATTCCTGTTTGCGCGCAGCCTCCGGGCGCCGGCAAGACGTACCTGGTGAAGCAGATGAGCAACGTGTGCGAGATGCCGCTGTACGGCGTGCACACCCACCAGGTGCGGGGGGCGGCGCAGACGAGGAAGCTGTTCGAGCAGGCGCGGGACAACTACCCGTCGCTGGTGTTCATGGACGACGTGGACGCCATCTTCGCCAACCACGACGAGGAGCCGCCCTGCACGACCTACGTGCAGGCCATCCGCGACGAGCTGTTCGCGCAGCTGGGGCCTCGCAAGCTCAAGATCGTGGACCCGAAGTCGTCGAAGAACCCGACGGGCAGCGCGCTCCCCTCGCCCTCCTGCTCGTCCTCGGGCCGCGGGGTCAACGGCGTCGGCGGCAGCAGCAGGGCCTCCAGCAGGGCGTCGACCATGTCCCGGCCGCGCCCCTCGGCTCCGCCCGACGACGAGGAGGACGTGTACCCCGAGGACGAGGACTCGCCTTACCCCGACAACAACGGCATCATCGTCGTCGCGGCCACGAGCACCCCCTGGCTGCTCTACAAGGCAAGTTCCTTCCTCTCGTGTCATCTTCGCTTTCATGGCCGCTTTTATTTTTACTTTTTTTCTCATGATAGTAATCATTACTTTTGTGATGGTTTATTGACTCATTTTGCACATAGCCAGGCAGTCATCTGTATCTTATTACCTCCACAGTTATACCTTGATAGAATATCCTTTCTACTTGTCGCCTTCATAATATTGTACCCAAACTTCACATTTTTAATCCCATTCACTATTTCCCAATCAAAATAATCCCCCTCCATCACGCTCGTAGGACCACGAACTGCTCAGCCGATTTCGCGGCGTGTACCTTGTGGGTCTCCCGGACAAGCAGGCGAGATACAACCTCCTGACGACGCTGTTCCAGGACGTCCACCACAGTCTCAGCGACAAGGACATCATGACGGTCGCAGAGAAGACGGAAGGGTAAGCGTCGTGGGATTCTTGTTGCAGGATCCCTTGTTTCATTCTCTCGTGGGTTGTTTTTGCAGAGGTTTCTATCAACAATGCGTTATGGTATATAGAATTGAGGTGAAGGGTTTCAGCTTATTTTTTTTACATAGAATTGAAATGATGAATGGAACAAATACGAATAAAATAAATAAGCGATAGATGCAAGGAAAGCGCTAATGAACCAAATCCAACTCAAGCTAAAACAAACGAAACAAACCAAAACGAACCGAATCCAAACAAGACCATAATGACGCCCCCGACCCTTTGCAGGTTCACCCCCGCAGATCTCATGGTAGTGGTCAAGACCCTGACGTACCGCCAGTTCTCGTACCTCCTGTCCATGACCTCCCCCCACGTCGGGTCCGTCGACGGGAGCTCCAGCGAACTCGGCTCCTCGGGCTCCAGAACGCCGCTGTCGTCGGAGATGTCGGAGGTAAGGCGAAGTTCGTGGGTTTTTTATCATTATTTGGGGGGGTTGTGTGTTGTTGGTTTGTCGAATGAAAGCGGTGTGTAATTGTTTGAAGGTAAGGACTATTGGATAGTGGTAGGTATTCATATGTAGTTTTAACGTTTGAAACCAAATGTTAAAAGTGGAAGATGTAGTTGAATTATGCTTTTTCATTCATTGAACTTTACGTAGATTGTTTTACGAAATGATCGATACTGAAACTATAACGCAACTTACCTTAGAACCTTTTGCTATAGAAACCAGTAAAGCAAAAAAACGCAGATCCATCGGAAAAATCCACCACATTATTCCACATAAATCCACCTCATAAATCCTCCTTCCCCCCGCCCTCAGTCTGGCTCCGAGTCGGACCTCGACGGCCTTCCTGAGTCGGAGAGCCACATGAAGCGCGGCGTGGTGTCGGTGGCCGCCGTGGCCGCAGCCGTCGCAGCCGCCAGCGGGGCCGTGCCCAAGAAGGACCTGAAGCCAGCGGCGGCGCCCAGTAAGAAGGTGCCTGCGACGCCGCCCCCCTGCGTCACGTCCCTCTGCAAGGACTGGGACTCCGACGAGGACGAGCACACGGAGGGCCCCCACGACTCGCCCGAGAGCCAGCGGGACGAGGTACGGGGGCTTGCGTCGAGGGGCAGGCTGCTTTGTTGATTTCGTGATTTTTCTTCTTTTTTTTAATTATTATTATTTTTTAAGGATATTACATGTGTTCACTAATGTGTGTGACTGCTTTGTTGCCATTAGTTATATGATTAAAAGAAGTTATAACCCTGCATAAAGTAATGGATGACTGTAATTGGTTTGATATATTTTTATGAATTAAAGGAAGGTCTGACACATTTGCATAATTTGACGTAGCTCTCTACGAGTTCATAATAAAAAGCAGGACTAAGTAAAAGACCTGGCAACCTGTCAGTTGGACTTATCATTATCCACGTTTACAGAAGAAAATCGCCTCAGACGACCCCCAGGCGCCGACGAGGGTCCTGGAGGAGTCGCTGCTGGTGCGGAAGGGCAGCAGCTCGGCGTCCCCGGGCAGCAAGCAGGGCGACGAGGGCTGCGTGCCGTCCCCGGACTCTGCGATCGGCATGTCCAAGAGCAACGAGGAGGTGGCCGCCCCGGCGAGACTGGAGGAGCAGGACGACGCGCCCGCCCGACGGACGCCCTCGGAGAGCAGTAGTAGTGGAGTGACCTCTTCAGGCTGTGATAGTAGTGATAGCAGTGCAATAGTTGACGAGGGAGTCGGGGAAGCCGGCGACCACGCCCCTCCTGCCAAAAGTGACAGTGAACCGAAGGTAGAGGAGGACGCGGGCGCCCTCGGAGGCTCAAGGGAGGGGCGGGAAGGCGGGGAGGAAACGGCTGAAAAGGACAGCTTAGTGGTAGAGGAAGAGGGGGACGCGGAACCCAGAAGTGAAGGTGCTCACTGTGATAATGAGAAGGAAGACGATAGTAACACGACAGAAAACTCTGGAAACTGTGACAATGACGAGGGGCGGGTCGGAACCCCCGCCGAGTTCGAATTGCATTACAGTGAACCTCCAGAGCCCATGCGGGATGACAACTGTGCCATTGACAGTGACAGTGACAATGACGTAGTGGAGACCCCTCGCTCAAGGGGCGGTCGCCGCGTGGCGTTTTCGGGCATGTCTCCCATGGAGCCTCTGTCCGTGGACGTCGGCGACAACTGCGGGCCGCCCAACATTTCCTTAGACGACATTCCACCGAACATCTCGCTGGCGCCGTCCAACCTGCCGGAGCCCATGCTGGCGGACGACCGTCGCCAGGAGTCGGCGCCGAACGCCATCCTGCTGAGCCTGCTGTCCCGCCCCGCCGGCTCCGCCCGCAGCGAGCGCCGCGACCGCCACCTGGACGAGCCCTCGGAGCTGGCCTCCCTTCTGCATCCAGACCACGACCTTGACGTCAACAAGACCTCGACGCCCATCGAGCCGATGGGGCCCCTCACGCCGACACCCAACCTGTCTCCAACCCCGACCCCGACACCCAGCGAAGGCTCCAGTCATAATGGCACCGTTGGAAGCTCAGGGAGTGGCACTCACGCCTCGGGCAGATCCACAAGCAGTGAGGTAGGGAACATCCTAATATTATTTCTGATCCGCTGTTCTTTACAAATCCCAACTCTTAACTTTGTTCACGCAGTAAAATTAGCAAGTATCTACTCAAAATGTGCAGTTCACTTAGTATTATCAATAAGGATTCAACAAATGAAAAAAGTATTTACAAGTTGCATAAGCGTGATGTAACAATAAATACGTGCGGCTCTTGACAGGTACGCAAGAAAGATGATAGCGACTCATCCTTCGACCACAGTGATACCCACACCGTCCCCTCTTCAGACATCTCCACTGCCACGTGTAATGAAACAGGTAAGTGTTAAAGTATTTAGAAGCTCTATAGCCATTCATTATTAATTATGTTTTTTATCCACTTGATGCTTCTCATTTCTATTTTTTTAAAAGTTTAAGCCTATTTGTGAGTTTGTGTTTATAATGCACACATTTTCTAACCTTCTCCCTCCATTAGCTATACATAATCCACCACTTATAAAATACTACATTGCCCATATCTTCCAGGAGAGACCATGGAATGCAGAACAGATTCTGAAGAAAGGTTACAAGGGCTTGAGGACGGACACAATCGAGCAGACAGCGACCGTGGCAGTGAGTACGACACCCCCACAGAGGCCAAGGCTGTGGGGGGAGGAGGAGGTGGGGGTCTCAACTCTCTCCTCAGCAATTTTGGGGAGATCAGCATTCAGTTGATCAGCCTGGTGAGTTTATTGGTTGCGTTTTTTTGTGGTTTTGTGGTGTTGGTGTTTCTTTATGGATATTTTTTTGTTGTTTATTTTGAAAGGTTCTGTATTCAACAATATGAGTGATGATTTTCCTCTTCTGTTTCTTCATCTTTTTGTTTGATGTTATTATTCTTCCTCCTCCTCCTCCTAATCCTAATCCTAATCCTAATCCTCCTCCTAATCCTCCTCCTCCTCCTCCTAATCCTCCTCCTCCTCCTCCTCCTAATCCTCTTCCTCCTCCTCCTCTTCTTCCTCTGCTACCATTTGCATATGTCAATTCCCATTCATCCCATTTTCAGGCCGATGTTCTTGAGGTGGTCGCCAAGGGCTACAGAAGTGTCTCAGACGAAGAGATCAAGCGCTACACAGACTTCATGGTTTGGTTCTCGAATGTCGCCAAGTCCGCTTGTCCTCATTCTAAAGACGGTATGTTTGGGTGATCTGTTTGCCAAGGAAATAATGTTAGATAGTATTTAAGGTATTTTTAATCTTATTGTTCATGAAGAGGATATAGTTTTGAGTATCTTGTGTAACTACTTACTTATGTTCTAGTTAAAGATAAACATTCTAATATCGTTTCATCTTCTTCCATATTAAACTTTTTTCTATTCCAATTTTATTATTTTTATTGTTTTTTTTTTTTTTATTAATTATTATTAAAATTACTTTTTTTTTTTTTTTTACTCTGCAGTTATAAGATATTTACCTCTCTTGTCACAGGTTCCCACAAGGCCAACGCCCCTCCCCTTGATGACATCAGCGTGGACTCGACCATATATGACACACCGAGCATTGCCAAGAAGCGGAAAGGACCCCTTCGCAAGTTGGGCCGATTCCTCCTCAAAGCCTTGATGTTCATCCTTGACTGAGGGGGACGTCCTCTATGCAAAATGATGGTATTTTTCTGCGCTCAGGATTCAAATAAGACCTTTTTTTTTATTACATGTATACATATCCTAGTCTTTTGTTAGACTTTTTTTTATTTTTTGATTGGAATTACATTTTATTGAGGACCAAATTTTTTTTTTATTTTTTTTATTCAGTGAGAAAGTAATTTGACTAGCATTACAATCACTTTCCTCAAAAAGTGCATTTACACTAATCTGGTCAATGGGAAGGTATGTAACTTTCTTCCACACTTGGTAATAAGGTAAATAAATACAGGAGCAACGTGTTTGATGGTCAGACAAAATCAACAAAACCATGTGTTGTTATTATTATTTTTTAAATTCATATTTATTCTAGTTTTTTCCCTATGGTGGAGGCCATAATTGCAGTCAGGCATGAAGAAGCCACGAAATAAATTCCTTCTTTTAAGTGGAGAGAGGAATAAGGGCTTCGGTCTTCATGTGTACTGTGTGTATATGTATATATGTGTGTGTGGGTGTGTATTTATATATATACATAGACACACATATATGCATACATACATACACAAGATTTTGTCACAAAATGCAGAGGAGTTGGATGATGGTTGTAGATCTTATGAAATGCCTCCAGGATTGTAGATGGAGACAGTGTGAGACAATCAAATATTGCAATTTTGACGTCATAAGGAGAAGGAATAGTTACTTTCTCTTCAGTCTTATCTTATGAGTAGGAGAATCCCAATAGTTTAATGGTCGACTGCTCTACACGCTGAACACAGAAAATGACATGGCTCGGGTTCCTCACGTCTTTCCCAGCGAGTGAGAAAACTAGGTAGTGGATGTCAGTTAATGATACAAGTAGCTGCATCTCAGATTTTTGAAAAACATGGTCACAATACAGCGGCATTTTTTTTTTTTTTTTTTTTTTTTTCTTTCCCCCCTTTCTTTTTATCTTCCCCCCCCCCCCCCTACAGTAAGTGGTTTGGGTAGTCGAGCCAATATAGTGTATATAATTGATAGGTCATGTGAATAGCCTAAGTTACGAGATAAAAGTTGATTAGGTGAATATATTTAAAATATATAAAAAAGCAAACATTGGGATCTTGCTTGCTTCTGCTTGTTGATAGCAGTCAACCAGGGTTATTTTTTCCCCTTCATTGTGACAGTCTGCTTTTACATATATTTTTCTATTGTAATTTTGTACTGCAGATTAAAAAAGATTATTCCAAACGACATGCAATACTGCATATTTCAAGCATTCAGAAACCCAGACATTCCCAGTGGAATCAATATTATTATATAATATAAATCACATTTATCTATATCACTTACAGTTCTGTTGTAATTTAGTGGACTAGTAAGGCAGTTAGAAATTGAGCATTCATTGTTATTCAGGTTTAGCTAATGCAACAAGGCGATGACATACACATATTACTATTATAACAATTACGGTATTTTTATATGGAATGACTTGTCTATCATCACTTTGATCTTTAGTTATTACGTCAGTTGTAGGTGTGTGTTAGTAAGATGTATTCCGTAATTTTATTTTTTTTTTTCTTTTACAGCAAAGTGATGGTTTAGTAAACATTTGTATCCATGTTCTAGGAAAAGAGGGAATACTTCTCATTGTTATTTATTTTTATAATTTTATAAAAGTGAATTTGGTATTTTCATCATGCAATTACAGGCTTTAAAATTATGTGTGGGACTTTGCTATAAAGTCCTGTTCTCGTTATAGAAAAGCTACTTAACAAAATTACTAAATATCTGTTCCATGGTATGTAAAAAAAAATAGAATAAAAACAATATGTCACAAAAGGAGGGTTGCACGTTGTTGATTTATTTCCCATTTTTATATGATGAATTCCAAGAAAAAAGGACAAAAAGAGTTAAGACTTCTTTCTAAAAGTTCCTACTAGTGTCACAAATACAAAAGAGAAATTGGAGGTTAATATCTCCCAAATGAAATTTCACTGGGTTGAATATACCTTTTCAGATCTTGTTTTTAAAAAGAACTAGCTCAATTATACTACCTTTTTTACATTAAATTATAGGATGCTTCTTGCATATTTTTCTTTTTTTTTTGTTTTTTGTTTTTTAGTACTGCATCATCACAGTTGATTTATGTTTGGAAGTGTAATGTACAAGCTCAAACTATAAATATACATATCAATAAATATCACAAGATTTCAGGATAAACTACAAAAAATATTCATACAAGGAAAATAGAGAAATAGAGGTAATTTTGTGAATATATAAATATACACAAAGTATACATAAAGTATACATACATATATATAGAGAAAGGCTTTTATATACATAAAACATATGCACAAAAGTTGAATTCCTATTACAAACAGAAATCATACATGACACAAAAGTACATGGTTATTACACAAGCAATACAGAAAGTACAACAGAGTGTAGGTTATTGTGCATATGTCCTGATGGCTTAACTCGACCACTTAAACACCCTCTTGTAAACGTGGTACTTATGCACTCTACCTGGATATATGTGCAGGAATCCTATATACATATCTAAAAAGAGTTAGATGCTTCAGCCCTTTGCTTAAAAATACATAAGCTTAAACCTTTCTTCCCTCCCTTTCTCTACACAAAGGGTTTTCATAGAGAGCGTTCTTGTGCTGCATTAAAAGAAGTCGCTGGAGACGTTGTTTGATTATAGCTGAACAAGTCTACTGGAATATTTTTCATAATGGTTTCCCTTCGTAAGAATGGAATTGTTTAGTTTATTAGAAATGGTAAAATATACAGATGCATTATGAAACGTTTTTTTATTTATTCCTAACTGTTCTGCCAGTGTCAACTTCATACATAAATGTACATCCATAATTGTGAAATCTATATTGCACCAAGCTTCACAAGACAAAATTTATAACATATAAGCTTGGTGAATAGTAAATCAGATAAAGAGTTGTAAATCTAATATGGTGTAAAGGCAACTTTCTTTATGAATGAATGTCTTTGGTTATACCGATTTAAGATTCACTGAATCATCCATTCATCCACTAAGTACAGCAGAAGGAATACGGTCTTCTGTAAGAATTTATTTTTCAGTCAGTACACATTAATTTCAAATCAAGTTGCATTTCTGGTTAACACTCAAAGAAGTGGGACATTATAATGAAACAAATTCCTGTATGAAACCTTTATTTTCCTAATAATTTATGTTTGACTACGTAATACAAGAATGTGTCTATCATGTCATAAGCAGTATATGCCAAGCAATGGTCTTCTGAGCTACCAGTACTGTATTCAAATCTTTAGTGTTTCATTTTTTTTTCCCTGGAATCTATTGAAGACATACAACACCTACATCTCCCTGCTCTTTGGATCATGGAACTGCATCAAAAAATAAAAATCTTCAACTTTTTTTTTTCTTTTTTTTTATAAGCATCCAATCTTTCCCATTGTTTTTGTTTTTTGTTTTTTAGTACTGCATCATCACAGTTGATTTATGTTTGGAAGTGTAATGTACAAGCTCAAACTATAAATATACATATCAATAAATATCACAAGATTTCAGGATAAACTACAAAAAATATTCATACAAGGAAAATAGAGAAATAGAGGTAATTTTGTGAATATATAAATATACACAAAGTATACATAAAGTATACATACATATATATAGAGAAAGGCTTTTATATACATAAAACATATGCACAAAAGTTGAATTCCTATTACAAACAGAAATCATACATGACACAAAAGTACATGGTTATTACACAAGCAATACAGAAAGTACAACAGAGTGTAGGTTATTGTGCATATGTCCTGATGGCTTAACTCGACCACTTAAACACCCTCTTGTAAACGTGGTACTTATGCACTCTACCTGGATATATGTGCAGGAATCCTATATACATATCTAAAAAGAGTTAGATGCTTCAGCCCTTTGCTTAAAAATACATAAGTGTTTATGGAACCATGCACTAACTTCTTTTTATTTAAGAATTTTCTATGCAAGAGTATTAACAAAGGATGTTTATATTAAAATTGAATTTTTTTTTTTTAATGTTTGGCAATAAAACAAAACACAATGTTCAATGCACAGATATCTGGGTCCCATAAATAAACACTTGCACAGGCTAACACAGTCTTCATAGTACAACCAATACTGAAAGAATCTTGGCAAATTAAAAAAAAAAAAAAAAAAAAAGGTTTTGATGCATATATAAATTACCTTTCATAAAACCGTCAGATCTTTAGCGAGCATTACCAATATTGCAGTTCAAATAAAACCTACGCTTATTGTCACGCATCAGCACCAAACAAACAGGGACAAAATTAATCCATTTTAATACGATCGGCCACTTACACTTCTCTTAAATCAAAACACCAACAATTACCATAGGAGTTTACCTTACTCTCTCAGCCAGTGGACATATTTTGAAAGGGTACATAAGACTACCTTTTTTTTTTTTATCATACTGAAGCCAAGAATTGTTCACAGATAACTATATTGCCATTTTACACGCTGTTGAAAAATTAAACAGAAATATATCTATATGTATATATATATTAATATATATAAGGAATTCAAGGCTAACAAGTGTTACTAGTAGCCTTGGATTATCAATGGAATTTTATCATATTATAATGCAAGTGGAGCTATATACTTATGAAAATAAGACATTAAATAACTTTCATAATAAAATAAAACAGTGACAAACATCATAAAGTAAAACATATAATTCTCAGAATAAGAATTTAATAATAATGATAATGATAATAGCAATGATGATAACTTAATAATAATTGTCACTGCAATGGTAATAATAAAAATAATAATAAAAAAATAAAAAATTATGAGAGACCATCATCATCATTGTAATAATACCAATAATAATGGTAATTTTATCAGTACTACATCTATTTTTAATATTGTCATTACCATCATTATCATTCTCACAAAAAAAAAAAAAAAAAAAAAAAAAAAAATCATTTAAATAATAACCACCATAATTTAAAAAGAGTTATTGCTTCTTGTTCACTCTAAGCACTGCATACATCTATCATTTCAATTGCAGGAAACCAAAACCTGCAGCGTAAAAAAGGAATAACTATGGAATGTCATTAAGGTTTCTAGCAAGCACATTACTGGACAATCCAACAAAATAGTGTTTACTTGTACCTCTACGTCACTTTCACCGATGGAAAACAATTACAGAATACTTATATTCTCTTTTAAATACCAGACTAAAAAATATATATGTATCAAGCATCTGCCCACATAACATTTTGCTGTTCTATGACAAATGACACAGGTTGTAACATCTATCAGAAAAGTCATTTCCTTAAACAAACTGATTTACACTTAAAACCAAAAGAACAAGACATACAAAGGCACAGATATGACATTACCCTCACATATACAATGTACTTCCTGTGGGTGTGTTTTAAGTGTCAAAAGAGTTCATGGGTTTTCACTTTCATATCAAAGAGCAAAGATTAGGATACATGGGATGGAAAAGGTATAAAAGTACTTGACCTGTATAAAATGTTAATAATATCTCTCAGTTCCACAAGATATCAATTTAAAAAGAATTTTCTTTAAATAAAATTCATGAAGTTACTAAGGACACTTTGCAATCGATAAAGAAACAGGGTCTTCTTTATTCAATTTTTTCTTCTGTATTACACTGTATTCTTATTACTGACAGCCTGGGTGATCCAGTGTTTACCAAAGGAATCAATTACTTTCATCTAATGGTCCATGAGAATGAATGATAAAACATGCATATACACTAAAAGTCGGAGTTACATTTAAAAACAAAATCAAGATAATAAATAAAATAAAACAACTAAACAAAAATCATGATGTTTAAGGTCAATTCAATACACAGATAGAAGAGTATCTGTAAGACATCTATGAGCTAAAATTCAACACCGTTTAGTAACACTGTTAGTAAACTGTACTGTAGGTTTAAAGAGAATATTCCTGACTTCTTTCATCACTACAGATAATTAGCAAGGTCTTCTTGCAGATATGTTTCAAGTATTATACTTTGCAATCAGCACAAACTAGAGAGACCACTTCGCTTGGAATTATATGGCATACAATTTCTACTTTTTATGCCTTGCTCTGAGCTATTACTTCAATTTTAAATCTCAAGTACAATAATGGACATATGAAAGACCACACTAAGGTACCAAATTCAATGAGTAATATCAAAAAAGAAAGAATTACATGTTATACAGATCCTAGTTGAAAGAGCTTTACAATGACTTTCCCTCAATTACACTTAATATAAACACAAAGCTCCCATCATGTGCTGACCAAAGTGGACTAGGATAAGCAGCCCACAGTAAATAAATATTCACTACTTCTTAAATATATTTACAAACCTTATCTAGGGGACCTTATATTGCAGACATAATGAAGACTCTTTGTATAATAACATTTGGTGGAAACTCCAGAGGGATTAAGCTCGACTCCTTCGATCCGGATGGTGTGACTATCATGTCATGAAAAAATTGGGCATGTGGAGCAGGTGACGTGAACATGCCATCATGGGAAAATTTGGCTGTGGGCCAGGGTGACGTGAACTTGCCGCCATGAGCATTTCAAATGAAGGCTAAGTTTACGGGAACGACCCCCCATAAGTGCACAAACATCTTGGAGGGTGATTAGGCTCATTTGGCATTTAAACAGGAGCTTTTGCAACATTTCCATAAAAAAAAATGAGTGTGGAATGTTGCGTCCATGAGCCAGGACTGGCTGTCATGACTGTTATATTACAAGAAATTGAATATTAAAAAAAACACACAAATAAGAAAATAATACTGTTATTATTCTTGCACCGAGTTATAGACTACCTAGAGAAATGATATGGAGTCTGTGCAAGGAAAACAGTCTATTACCATCTGGATAAAGCAAATCAAATGACAAATATGGACATTGGAAAATGGCAAAAAAGCTAAAAACACTTATGCATAAAAAGAGAAGATAACATTGCAATGGGGATGTAGAGAGTCTTGTCACCACACACAAGTATTCGTGTGTACCTGGCCTGCAAGTCACGCACCCAGCTCAGTGGCTGCACATATAAGTCTAATGCCCATATCTTAGGGCAATGTGAATGCCATGAAGCACCCGGATCCAAGAAGTTAATGAAAATGAGTATGAGAAGTCCCATGTGTTGAAACTCAAAAAATAAGTACTGGTTTTCCCATTATATTAAAATGCAAAGACTACTGCAACCACTTGGAAAATTGATCCAAAACTACCAGAAACACATTTAGTTGTACTTGTCCAAAAAATAATTGAATCCACAATCAAAATATGCTGCTATAGAGTGTTGCTGGACTTTTTAAACCCTATTAAGAATTCAGCCATGGTTTTGGGGGACTCGTACTGCTAGATGTCATACCGGTAGCTTTTCAACTGCAGTTACTGGTACTCTTCTGTATATGAATAATTCATAAGTGAAGTACAAATCTAGTTTCAAAATACCTGCAGGACCTCTGCACTATAATTACATTTTATTTATACCCAAAAGAAAGTCAATTTATATTAATTCTGATTGAGATTTTTCCTAATCAAAATTAACATTATATGTAATTCCTTTTTTTCAAAATTAACAAGTGCTCTATTACGAAGTAACATAAATAATATATTAGAGCAAGCAGACAGAGAATAATATAAATAATGCTACCTATAATTCAGAAGCAGCTAAAACAGGAAGAAAACTTAGGTATAAGGAAAAACTCACTTCTATAAATGCTAATATATTTGCACCTCCATCCCTTTTGTAGCACACAAAAATGATAATATTATGGAATAAAATGTGAGCATTACATTGTGGCAAATATGCAATATACGGAGAGAAAAAAAAATACAAATAAAAGAATTTCTGAGTAAGGCATATATCCAAAAATATTCTTTTCATTAGTAAAGGAAAACGCAAAATGAAGGGAATGAATGAACTGCTGTCATACATACTCACCTGGTAACTACATGAGCATCTGATTCACAATCATACCTTTGCCTAATTCCACTACCATATTTACACACAAGGAACACACTCTAGGCAATATATATTTGATTACACTTCAGTACAAAGTTCTTTATCAACAGAGACTAGAATCAGGGTTTGTATTCCTCTCTGATGAAAGAATAAAGTTAACATTACCATTATAACTTGAACATTATCATTATAACTTACAAACTGAAGGGTAATGCAAAGGTTAAATATACTTCTAGTGTGTAACTGATATTAAGAGAATAAAGAGAGGTAGATGGAGTTAGGTAATATAAGTTAGCAAATGATGTATGTGGACTTTCCCTTTCATGTATAAATTTCAATAGATCTTTTTTTTCTAATTACATATGAGCAATATGTAATTCTTTCTATATCTCTGTTAAGTTCTCTTCCTGAGCCATTTTAGAAATATTTCTCAAAAGGTTAATAATCAAAATAAAAAAATATATATATTGCATAATCATACAAAAAGTATATTATACATAAACCAAAATAGTTTCACAGCTTTCTAAAACATCATTTAAAATGTAACACCTAAAATAAAAATACATAAACATCATACACAATCTTATGAACACTACATACAACCCCAAATGGAAGAAGAAGAAGAAGAAGAAGAAGAAGAAGAAGAAGAAGAAGAAGAAGAAGAAGAAGAAGAAAAGAAGAAAAGGAAGAATAAAATGAAGAAGAAGAAAATAAAAATCTAGAAATAACCCAATATTATCCAAAGCATACAGCCAGAAGTCCACTACACATGTATGATCCAACACATACTATACATGCAGAGTATCACTTTTACCCGAAAGGAGTGGTTCAAAATTCACTGGAATTTTCGTTCAGGGTCTCAGAATTCCATTTAAGCAAATTCTGAAAGATGCTCCACTATCAACTTGATAAGAAATGCAGCAATAATTTAAAAAACAGAATCTACCATAAAAAAGAAAGCCACTGAATTTACAATTTATGTACATTTAATGCACGAAAAAAATTATGAAAACAGAATACTTCATAAGTTCTTCACAAAATTCGATCTGGAAGATATAGTAACATTTTGGATTCTATGACCAAGATATCAGGGACACATAAGTAGCATTATATCGATAAAGACAAAAGCTTTTTCATTCCAAGTCCCTTCCTTCATCTGTAAGTTCATTTAGTCTATACTTCTATATTTCCCAAATTATCAACTTCTTTGTCAAAAGCTTTTTATATACTCTAAATTGATCTTTTTATATATGAAAGTTGCCAAAAACTATACAAATCACTTATTTCCATAAATGGGTCATCATTGGAAATTTTAAATAGTCATCCATTAAAAGTTCTTGCAAAAGATATTTTCAAAACAAATTCAGCAAGAAATTGCATTTGAATTAAGATTAAAACTGTCTATCCTTAATCTTTTTCCCAATACTGCACGCCAAGGAGCTTTTCATCAATTACCATACTTATTTGTAGCCATTACAGTTGGACAGTAAACGTCTCTCAGCACTGTTTTAAGTATCAAACCCCCTGAATTTAGAACTGTAGTGGAGTAACAACACCTGTCAGACAAAGAACAAAAGATTTGTCTTGCATTGCTGGACAAACTAACACCAATTCAAGAAAAAAAATATTAATGATGTTCTCACATTTCAGTGAAAAAGATGAAAACTAGAACTGCACATTTTCAATGTTATTGTGAGTTTTCAACATCTTATTTCAATATAAAGTTATAATTTGGCACTCTTCACTATCATAACTGTAATGGAAATAACTCTAAGTAATACAACCCTGAGCCTACCACTTCTGTAAACTGCACCAAGTATTTGTCCAGAAATCCACAAAAATGCTTTAGACTTCAGATATCTTAACAGTTTCCAGCACAAATAAACCTTCACAACAGTGAAATGTAAACGATAACTCCAAAATGTAAATATTTTCACAATGTCTATTTACAGATACAAACCTTCTTTAACCTGCCATTCCTTTTAATGAATTCATGACAGCACAATACACCTGGATCACATAAAATGGATATCACTAAAGGCCATATTAACAGCAGCCAACAAGTCTAGATGGTGGTGCTTCACACATCTCTCCTCAGCCAAGCAAAGCTAAGCCTCCTTATCAAAGTTCCTCTTTGAGCTGAACCAAAGCCAGTGCCTTCTGGTTGACCTACATCTCCCACTAGAGCAGGACCCGCAAACTCATCCCCTTCACTATTGCCAAATGAATCCGATACTCCAACAGGTGGAAACAAGCACCTGACCTCACACAAGGAACCATCACAAAAAAACACCCCCAACACCAGAGGTATCACCCAGGGAGACGGGGATCACACAACCACCTTCCTCGAAGTGCAATAAACCCAAAAGCTAAGAACCCTTTCACATATCCACTCTAAACCACCCTCTGTCTCGTTGACAGGCCACACAGAATATTAGCCACAAAGAATATAAAACTAGTGAGTAGTAAAAAAAAAAAATTAATATTACTACAAACAACTGATAGAAAATAAAAGAGAGACTCAGATCAAGTAGATTAGGAGCAAGGAAGATAAACTAAAATGGTAGTTAGCTGTCATGTTCGAACTAATATCAGACTTTTTTAACTTTGACAAGTTTATTGAGACAAAAGCTTAAATCTCAAAAGGATGAGTAACTTGAGTTATCCTCACCCCTATCTCAGAATTAGCTTGACAGTGACATGAAAGTGAAATCTAATATAGATACTCACATTTTGCTGATGTTATAATATCAGAATGAGAAAGAGTAGCAAAATGAAATTACCATCCATTTTTTCTTTTCTTTTTTTAGAATGAAAGTTTTGGTTTTACATATACTGCAGATGAAAATGTGTCTCACACAGTCCCAAAAATAAATAACTTACTATCCACACATCATCTAAAAAACACATGAAACAAGGCACAATTTTTAAAAAATATACGGTAGCTAAAAAATATATATCTATAAATCTGAACACAAAAGAGACTTTAAAACAAGACATAGCAGAAAAGAAACAAGTTCAACCAACTCATACTCCAGTCTCAGCAAGGTACTGTTATGAGATTCAATCAGTCCTGACCACAGTAATTTAACATTATTAAATACTACTACAAATAATAATAATAACAACAATAATGAATAACAACAATAATGAAAAACAACAATAATAATAATAATAATAATAATAATAATAATAATAATAATAATAATGATAAATTATTATACTCCACCATGAAGTAAATAATAAAAAATAACAAATAAATAATCTCACACAGATTGCAAAACAGACCTTATTTTCCACCCCTTCATTTTCAACAAAGTTAGATGCTTAACCAAAACCACAACTGAGGCTGCACCATCATTTTTCAAGAAAGCTTTAAGTATTCATCTACATTAAAAAACAATAATAGTAAAACACTGACTTCGAAAAACCAGGTGGAAAATAAATGCTTAAGGAATTAAATTATGGAGGCACTCATGCATTCAACAAATCTATTCACATTAGTTATCAGAACGAATATGCATCTCCCCTCCCAGACCTACGGCCAAGAAGGTCAGGTTTTCCTTGAAGAATGCCTTTCATTTTCTTCAAACATTTTATATTAAAATTCTTTACTCTATAAAGAAGAAAACATATTGCATTCTTACATATGATTTCCTTTTCTATCATATTTTTTTTGTGTGTGAGTGAATGCTTTGTTAATTTATGTTGTGTATTAGTATGGAAAACCTATCCCACAAAACTCTTCACAGCATCTAAATACACAAAAGAAAAGTAAAAAGCAAACAATAAAATAAAAAATAAAAATGCAGCTCCTTCTCCTTTACAAAACTCCATTTCCCGAATTTTGGTAAACATTACCCTCCTATACACATACCCATTTCGCACTTTTATCACAACATACTCCCTAACCTATGTACATCCAGCAACACTACAAAAATAACTTAGGTAGAACGACAAGCTTCCAATACGAGTGTTTATGCACTGCACTCTCACGAAATGCCATACCCTAGTTAAAGCTGCTGCTGAAATGAATGACTGCGTGTGAACTACCAATCACAAGCATAATCTGTATAAAAGCTACAAACCTAAGACATATTTGCGTGAGATGATGGTACACTTTGATGCTGCCGATTAATGAGTGCACAAGTTTTTTTTTTTTTTTGTTTTTCTTTTTTAGGTTTTGCACCTTGAATGAGTCTGTGGAGGACGGAGGTCTTCGAAAAAGGAAAAGAATACAAGGAAAGGAAAAGCAAAATGGCAAGAGCGATAAAAACAGAAAAAGGACGATGCAAATGCAAATCCCCACTGGCTTCTAATCATCTCCATGTTTTCAGAAAAGTGAATGATGTTAGAAGGAACAGAATTACCTATCGTAAGATATCTAAAGGTACTTCCACACTCACTTAAGCTACACTTAACCAGAGAGAAGTCATTAATCAGACATTCCATCTGTAGTTCTCTGTGGAATCTTTTGTTTCTTATCTCTTTCATGCTATCTGATGAATCCCCTTATTTACACGCCCCAATGAAAATGAAATGAAAATAGGTATACACACATGGGAGACATTCATAATTATAGGTATACACATTACCTTAGGCATTATCATAGATACAAGTCCATTTACTTTTCTTACTACAAAATATTTTACATATACTTCCAATATAGTCTAATACAATCTAATATTTCCACGTGTTAAAAAAATACAAACCGTAAAAAAATCATAAATAAACAGAAAGGAAATAAACTTTTAAATTCTTGCAAACACAGTATGACATAATAGGCACATTACCACTAGGCAGGTCTTCCCCCTGCGTCCAGTTCAACACCGAAATATAAAAAAAGGACTTTTCCTTCTTTCAATTCACATCAGGAATCTGCAGTACCTCAGGCTATGTATACTTGTATAGGGGGTATACAGAGGAACAGATAGATTAAAGCTCAGTATCATAACATGACTAGAGAACAAATAATTTACAAAGCTTATAAACTCAGCACTGACGGCTCAACCCAGTTTCCTGTCTTTTCCAAGGATCTAACCCTAAAATAACTGCAACTTCTGGTATGTTATATCACATATAAACTACTGCATATATTGAGGAAGAGTAACTGTACAAACTGTAGCAGTTGCACTATTTAAATTTATCCACAATATACTTAAAAGCACATTTACAACTCAATATATTGTATGTATATATATATTCTTTATGCTTATCCTAACGCATGAAACAGGAACAGAGGAGGGGTATGGGAGCAAGGGATATTGAAGTAAAGTGTAATGCCTAGAAATGAGACCGTATGATATATTTACAAATGGTAAGAGGACCATCCACTTGTGGAGATTTGTGAGCCTTCAAGAAGGTACTGCTGCACTCCTGCATCCTCCACAGTTCGCACAGGAAACTCCATCTAAAGAAATGCATTGTATGAGCAGGGGAATGAATATGAGCATCTGGAACATTCAGGGTAAAATTAATTCCTTCTCTCACTTGTGCAGATATAAAACACAGTAAAAGTAATGAGTGAGAAATCAAGCCATACCTCAAACATGCTGCTCCAAGTTCGAGACAAGGTAGTGATGAACTCATGCAGCTGACTGCCAGTGCGGAAGTAGAGAGCCCAGTCACCAGAGATCTCTCCAGCTTCACTGCACTCAAATTCCTGAAAGAGGTACCCAATGTTAACTTCTTCTGACTTGTACTCAATCTCAAACTATAGCAAGCAAAATACAAAAATCAATAAGATTCTCTGTTCAAATCCTTATTTCTAAATTTTCATGTAAAGAAAAAAGAAAAAAAAAAGAAAAAAGAAAAAAGAAAAGAGAAAAGAAGAAAAAAAAAACTCCCCAAACAACACTATGTGGTTCAGCCTTCTCCACACACACACAAACCTACCATCAGACATGTGTTTGGACACTCTGCATACAGGAACAGCGAAGACAGGTGTTCCAGGGCGCTGTAGGTGAGGACTCTGACATCTCCCTTGGCCTGGATTCCCTGCGTAATCTCGTCCAACATTCTTCTTGGTGCAGAGTTGCTCCTCGCTAACACCTCCTTGTTCTTTTTAACGAGGGGTGACGGGTCCTTTTCATCCTTTGCACTTGAGCTCGCCTGGACATCCGGGGATCCGTAGTCTGTCAGTCTCGTCAGGCTTCCTTGGTGCTGGAGTTTCTTTGGGGTCGAGGTTTTGTTGACACTGTTTGCACGCTTTAGGGGGCTGCCGGGCATTGAGGGAGTGCTGTTGGTGCGATTGAGGGCTGTGAGCGAGGAACTTAGGTGCTTGCGCTCCTTGAGGTTGGACAGGGCCAGATTCAGGGGCTTCTGAGAGTCCTTCCTCTCCAACTGTGCTTGAGCTGTTTGTGAATGTCTGGGAGATGAGGCCAAAGCCTGCTGCTGAGACTGCTGCAGGTTTGTTGCGGAGGATCTAGGGTCGGTAGCACTCTGGTGGTCAAAGGAGGAAGGGCCATCGTCTTGCGGAAGAGCCAGTATTAGGTCTGACTGCTGAGCTAGCAACACCCCCGACTCCAGCAGGATCACTCTGCACGAGACCTGCTTACGTTCACTCACGTCTGGGACCTGAAAAGCCAATGATGGGATATTTAGCTTTGATAATCTTTTAAAACTAATCATACAGGAAAAATAAACAAATACATTAATAACTAACTTTTACTGAATCTAAAAAAACAACTAATATTGTCATACAGATCAATTTTCAGACAAACACTCACCCCATTGTTGATAATCATGAGGAAAGCCTGGAGCCACAGGGAGGCCTCATGTTCGTCAGATGCTGCGAGCATCACAGGAGGCGCTTTCTTCCTCAGTAACTGTTGGTCAAAATGATATATACATCCTAAATCATCAGACACACAAAATGAAATCTATAAATTCATTATACCTAAAAATTATACAAAAGAGAAGAACAAACATATAAAACAAAGGAGACTAGAATTTCCATTAAAAATAATGACGCAGAGTACAACCCACGTCCATACCTGGAAAGCATAGGGCCGGTGACTTGAAGATATGCGCACACAGCCTACGCACTGCACGACCTCGACAATCATGTGAGGCAGTCTCTCCCGGGCATCATTAAACTGGTATAGAACACCAGCTCTGAGGGAGATTAATGACACTTAATACCCACTTGAGGTTTCACTCCATTAATTTATCAAAGTGATAAAAAGAAAAAGGGAGAGAGAGAGAGAGAGAGAGAGAGAGTGAGAGAGTGAGAGAGTGAGAGAGTGAGAGAGTGAGAGAGTGAGAGAGAGAGAGAGAGAGAGAGAGAGAGAGAGAGAGAGAGAGAGAGAGAGAGAGAGAGAGAGAGAGAGAGAGAGAGAGAGAGAGAGAGAGAGAGAGATGAACAAATTAATGAATGAGTGGGTGATTGAATGTGCATGATTGAGTGAGAGTACATGAGGCAAGTATGTGTGTGTGTGTGTGTGTGTGTGTGTGTGTGTGTGTGTGTGTGTGTGTGTGTGTGTGTGTGTGTGTGTGTGTGTGTGTGTGTGTGTGTGTGCGTGCATGCGCGCGCACGTGCACGCATGTGTGCATGCATGATCATGTGTGTATGCACGTATGTATGCTATCAATGCCATAGAAAATGTCAACCTACTTGAGGATGAAATAGGCGGGTCTCCACGAGGACAAGATCCCTGGAGGCTTGAACATCAGCGGCCCCTCGTTGGTCGGTCCCAGGGGCCCAGACACGGCATCCCCGCCCAGGCTGCTGCCGTCCTCCCAGTCGGCCATCCAGCACCCAACCACCTCTGGCCCACTCTGCAAGGAATGAGGCCGTCACTTCTGACAATGCAGCTGACACACAAAATAAATAAATAAAGAAAGAAAAAAAGAAATATATAAATAATTAAACAAAAAATAAAATAAAATAAATACTGCTGGTATGACTTAGAGCAGATAACTTGTAGTTCCTGTCTAGAATCAGTGGTGTGGTAGTTGCGGTAGTGATGGTCAGTTGTGGTGAGTGATAAAACTAGCAAAGAGCGCCCCCACACTAGTTACAAAAGACAATAAACCTATTACACCAAAACCCACTTCAACAACTACACCTCGTACTCATACCTTCAACAAGAAATATTCAGATCCTGACGTTTTACAGAAAAAATTAAATGAAAGAGTAAACACACTAAAAACAAATATGTAATATAATATGCTCAGTGTATAATAGAAGAAGAAGAAGAAATAGAAGAAGAGGAAAACGAAGAAGAAATAAAGACAACTACATCACATACTCTTCTCTACAATGTTATTTTTTTCAAAAGGAATATTCTGAGTTTTGCATTTCTACAGAAAATAAATAAATGAATAAATTAACAAAAAAAAAATGAAAGTAAACTCCATGTTTTACAACTACAGACTGTACAAACAAACATGCACCCATTCCTGACTTTCACATTTGCACATACAGAAGTTATCTACAATAATCAAAAGAACTCGTTTACAAAACCATATAAACTGTCATACAAGACCCATCCCGACTCCATAAACTCAAGAAAGAAAATAAGCCAAACGTAAAACCTTTATCCTGAAATGCAAATCATATACTTAACCTAACATCATGCTCCTGTACAAAAGCATTCTAAATTCTACGGCAGAACAATGCAACCATTAACACTTCCTTTACTTACTTCTTTTGGCAAGACAGCAAGGAAACCAACACAGGCCAGAACACGACCTGAGGTGAATTTCATCAACCAATCCCATAGTTAGGGTTTCTGGTTTCCAGTGAGGGTCAAAACCACACCCCACACGAACTCACGCACAATCATTCTCATTCACACTCTCGCTCTTGTTATCGCTCTCACTCTCGCTCTTACTCTCACCCTCATTTTCTTACTCTCACTCTCACTCTTACTCTTACTCTCACCCTCATTCTTGCTCTCACATTCGTTATCGCTCTCACATTCGTTATCGCTCTCACTCTCGCTCTTACTCTCACCCTCATTTTCTGCTCTCATCTTTAATCTTGCTCTCACTCTCTCCCATTCTCTCATCAATAAAGACACATCAAATTCTTAAAAAAATACATAAAGAATTGAATTGCATAAAACCATGCTACAGCTTTATGAAAACTTTATTTAAAAATCTTAAGAACCAAACCTCCTACACTTAAATCCTAAAAAAATATATATATAATACAAAAAAAATAAATAATAATAAATAAATAAACTTCCCTAAAGATAAATTCAGAGAATTTTTTAAAAAAGAAATAAATAACCTCAGAAACAACCAATCGAAATGGAAATTCTACCAGAACGTCCTTAAAATCTAATCACCGTTACAAAACAGAAGGAGAAACAACACTATCACATGTACAGAAATACAACATTAAAACAACAGTCAATGAAGACAACCAAGACCTTGAAACTACATTCTAATAAGGATGAAAACAATTCTCAGAAGACAAAAAAAAAGTCACAGATCTTCAGAAAACAATCATACAAACATACGTATATGAAAGTAAAAGTGGACAAAGAACTAAATATTCCTTAACCTTAAACCAAAAACCTATGAAAATGAAAAAAATTTAATCAAAATGTTACCTCTAAATCTACACAAGAAATCTAAATCTGTGATGCTAAACACAGTAAGAAATTAAGCAGTTTGAAAAAGGAAATATTTTTTGAAAATTAAAATTCAGTAGTATACTTCCTTTTTTTTTTAATCTTAATATACTTACTCAAAACACAATTTTTAGGCTTCTTTTCTTACTGTGTTAAAGCAATCTATAATTTAAAAACGTAATATTAGAATCATGGATATCAACTCTAATAAAAAAAAATTATACTATAACAATAAACAATACGAAAATGTGATAAACTAAACAGAACTACAAACCATAAATAAAAACTACACAAAACTACATCACCTTAAATATATAATAAAAACAATGTCTTTCTAACATAGTCACTCAGCCATGGAAAAGATATTAAAAAATCAAAACAGAAAGATATTAAGAAGAAAATACAAAATGGAATCTTTATCAACTATAACAAATCAATATATATATATCTAAAGAAATAAAAAAAAATAAATAAAATAAATAAATAAATAAAAAAAATGGAGATAGCAGCCATCAACAGGGCAAAGAGCTCTCACATATTTCAACAGAAATTCCTGCAATATTTTCAACTTCACAAAAAAACAACCAAATAACACATTGCAACCGGCTTCAACCCTTTGAAAACAAGATTATTGCATCACTCAAATAACATCACTTCTTCACAAGATCATATTATATATGATTCCCTGACTGGTTTTAATACAAAATGTCTATTTATGAAATGTAAGAAAAAGAACTTTGAGATTTATTATCAGCAAATTAATGCTCCAGCACATAGCATGCTTCTTGGAGTCTGCCTGAACAAAAAGACAAGGATGCTAATCCGTGCAAATTATTTTGAGAATTTGTCTCATAATGGTGCTTGCAAAAGATCATTAAAAAAAAAATTATCTTTAATTTTTAGCAATATTAATAACTAAGTGTGAACAGCACAAAGATTTGTCAATCACACGCAAGTCGCTGTAATCAACATGAGTACCAAGGCAGCATTCCTACCTGTAGTCGCAGCTGGGCCCTCAACCACCTTCTCAGCCCAGCCAATTCCCAGGCTGGATGGACCACAACAGCAGGCAGACTTCGGTCATGGAGAGTCCCATTCCAGCGTGAATAACCACCTGCGTATATGGACATGCCATACTGTTTTTCCAGGTGGATATGTGCAGGACAGGTTTCCTCCTCCAACTCCTCAACTTTGTCTTCTTCCTTCTCTGTGATATTTCCATTTTCTGACTCCTTTTCTTCCTCCTGCACTACTGCAACTTCATTCTTATTGGCTGGTACTTCACTCTCCTCTGGGTACGACTCCTGGCTGGTGTTCACTGACGTCTGGATCATCTTTGAGTGTATCTGTGTTCTGCTTGACTGTGTTTGACTCATGTAGGAAGACTGTTGGCTTCCTTCCATTGATCTTGGACTTTGGCTTTCATTAAGTATGTCTTCTTCACTGGCATCAACTGAGGCTTGACTAGCATCAGTCATGTCTGGACTCTCGTCAACAGACTCAGGACTTGGGTCTGTCAAATCATTACTGGCCTCACTGGAATCCTGACTTGTTTCTGTCATATCTTGACTAGCTTCAGATATATCTTGACTGGCTTCAGTTAAGTCAGAATTGTCTTCAATTAACTCATGACTGGCCTCGGTAAGATCATGGCTGGGTTCCGTAAGGTCATGACTCTCTTCAGTCAGGTCATGACTAGCCTCGGTGAGGTCCTGACTGGCCTCACTCAAGTCCTGACTGACGACCGACCCCGGAGTGGCGGCTGAAAGGTCCTGCGTTACTTCAGAGGACTCGTGACTGTGATCAGCCGAGTTTTTCCTTGTGTCCCACGCATTGAGCAGAGATTCCTCTAACAAAGAATTTGATAAATTGTCTTCACACTCTCTGGTGATAGAACGAGTGAGCTTCAATTTCCCCGGTGGGAATAAGTCTCGGTAATCAATGTAGGTTTCTTCCTTCTTGAATGCTGCTCCTAGTTTGAGAGCAGCAAAGTGCCTCCTAATAGCCAACTCAAGGCAACTCACGATGGCATGAGTCACATCAGGGTCGCCAATGTCTAACTGAATGCCAGTGTTGTTGCCTGTGGTGGCAAGGTCATCATGCACTGCTTCCTTGCTCAACACACAAACCCACTGATCATTGGCCCCAACCTGGAACAAACATAACCATATGCTTAATGTTTACACAATATATATACATAAAACTCAGAATGTCCTCTTTATAAAATGCATGTATAAACACTATTCTGAAAAAAAAAGTATGAAACATATCATTACTGCTAAATAATACTGAAAACCTGGGAAATTCAAACAAAATATTTAATCTTTCTTGACTTACTATGATGGTGTGAATATCATGATAAGGTAGAATATGTCGAGGTTTGGATCCCTTCAGTCTTGGTGCCAGTATATAGAGCGTCTGTGTTGATAAGACAACCTGGACTCCTATGCTGTGCCCACTACTGTGACCCTCTCGAGCAGCAAACACCTGTCATTAAAAAGATTATAAATTACCAATTATCATACAGTGCTCCTTTAGTGAAGTTCCTAATGCTAGTATTTACCTCAAGAGATTGGACTTCCTCTTATCATCATGTGGAGAGAACCTTGTATATTCTCAAATACCCAATCATCAATCACTATACATGCTGACTGACTGGCTGTAGACTTTCTCTCTCCATTATGGATGGCACCTCTCCAAATGTCTAGGCTCATGTGAGGTTTAAATCCAACTTGAATTCTACTAAAAACCTAGGTAATAAAAAACTCTAGCACTTAAAAACACAACACAAGACAGACACAATACCAATAACACAGAAAATTGTCTGAATATCTTTACACACTTTCCTTCAAGAAAATAAGTATCAAAAATAAAAGACATCTTACCCGATAGAGCTTCTCTTCAGGCACTGCTAGCACATGTGTCATAATCCATTCATCCAACTTATAATCCATAATTCTGCCCGGGGTTACAAGGTTCGACTGCCCCTGAGCAACCTCCAGGGCAAGGCGCCTTTCCTGAAAGTAAAAAAAAAAAAAAAAAAAGAAAGAAACTAATGAATATGGGACCATTTCTATAAAAATTCTTTTATCAGTATAATGACCATTCATGATGAGTCAAAGCCTTTCATGAATAATCCCAGTTAAAAGTAACAATGGATCAATTAATCATATCAACAAAATTAATAAACAAAAGGATTACCTCTTCCCTAAATTTTTTGCCATCGACTTTGACTGGAATGTACAGACTTGGGGGAGCCTTATCCTTGCGAAAGCTCTTCTTGTAGAGCATCCTCCTCTCGTCAGATGAGAGCATCGACTTGGACCTCCTGCCCTGTAATCTCCCCATCCCATCTCTCTGCATCTGGGCCTCTGCCCTAATGGCCATCAGCTGCTTCTGCTTGGGTCTTGTCCCTGTGGCCAGCTGTTCCTGGCTCAGCAAGGCTCTGGTGGACGTGACTTGCTGGCTGTCCAGGATACTAGGGTCTGTTGTGGCCTTCTCCAGCAGCTCATGTCCCATCTTGGTTAGCTCTTCCCATCTCAGCCCGTCGATGATGTTGGTTCGCTGCACCACTGCTGCTGATAACACCCCCTGCTCCTGCTTTTCCCCTGGGAGACACTTCCACATGTCGCTTGAGATGTCTGTCCCACTGTTGTTGTTGTTGCTATCATCATCTGCATTGCTCGGTGTAAGGCTGATGATGGACTGGTGTAGGGGAGGGTCCTCCTGGCCCTCTGGTGGAGCTCGCTCACTCAAGGAAGGGGTAGACTGAGAGGCAAAATAAGAGGTGATAAAATTACTTCCCACATTTCAAGAAACATTGCTTTTGATACATTTCATATACAAACATACTCTTCCAGGGTACTATATCAACCCTGGACTCACCTGATCAAGGCTGGTAAAGAGTTCATCTAATGCTATAGATGTTGGAAGCAGCCCTCGGTCCTTCAGGTTGGAAAGCAAGTCACGGAGATCACCCAGATCACGAATCTCAGAATATCCGCAGAGACTGAGCCGACTGTAGGTGAAGAAGTGCGAGATCAAAATTAACAAAAAAAGGTAAATACAAGTGCAACCTTAAAACAACAGCAGACAAACATAAAGAATTACTCACAATGCTTCACACCTAAACATAATGCAGTCTGTGCAATAATATACTAAAAGGATAAACTTCTGCCTTAAATTTGAAGATTCATACTCTTCCTTCAACTATGACAAGAAAACAATTTTGCATGTGCATTAAGACCTGAAAGGACAAATGTCATGCATGACATACGTGTATGACCTTTTGAAGTTGGCAAATTGTAATAAAACAGGAGGGGAGATATGGATAACCAAGTGAGCTTCTCAACCCAATCAGATGGCAAGAATACATGACATGTGACTGTAATATAAATCCATTTACTGTCTTTACACAGATGGCTCTACAAGTGTTTATTCACCAAGGAGTCAGTTACTAGTCCTATCTCTCTCACCTGCTTACTCTTTCCCTAGATTTTTAGAAAGTTTCAATTGTATTATTTTACCATCTTTAAAGGTCATATTCTAATAACAATTTAATAACCATAATATCAATAGGAATAACAACATTATCAATATTAATTGTATCAGAATAAAAAACTCATTTTCCACCAAATTCAAGGAATGGGGAAATCAGGTGCAATCACTAGGGCCTAATTATAGACTCCTTGGTGGCTGAGCACATGTGGAGCCATCTGTATATAACAAAATTCACAAAAAACTACAAGGGACAGTACACAGAGCCATAGTCATTGGGTCCAAAGATAATAATGAATAATAACTACATTTTCCATTGAAAGTAAGAAAGAAGTTGCAGACCCTCTTCCCACTTCCCTTGGCTATTAATTGTACAATTAACCTCAAGCAAGACAGCCAAACTTCATAAATCACTAAGTAAAAGAGTGATGAGGTATAACATTAAAAATAATCAAAAAAACTTCTTTCCCTAATCATAGAAAAATTCTAATTATCTCTTACTTGTGTTGAGGCTTGTGCTGCTCCAGGTCAGAAATATCGGTGAAAGAGACCCTTTTCTCCACATTCTTGGCATTGGGCAGCCTCCCCCTTCGCACCACAGTCACTTCGTCCCCCCGCACCTCGTTCCCCATCTGTTTGCTGTTCCCATCATCGGTCCCGTTGCAGGTGGTATTCACATTCCTGTTTTCGAGCGTGTTGGCGAGTCCGTCCCCATTCTCGCTCTTCTCCTTGTACCCTTTCTCCTGCCCGTCTCCCTTGCTCTCGCAGTTGAGGTTGTTGACGTTCCTATCATAGTTATCACAGTTTTGCTTTGGTGTTCCTTCCGCGGTCGTAATGGTCGGGGAGGAAGACGAGGAGGAGTCCCAAGGGATGGTAGATGTTGTCCTGGTTTGTGTGCCTGTTATGGTGGTCGCCGTGGAGGTACTGTGCCGGTGACCCATCTCTCCACTTTCATCCTTTGGCACTTTCGTCGTGCTATGGTTTGTGCTCTTGGCATCAGTGGGCGTCGTGCCCCCCGATGACACTCTGGAGGAGCTCTGCGATGATGACCTGCTCCTCCTCTTCTTCTTAGAGCCCTGGAACAACCGACAGAAAAAAGGTAATGACCTTGAGAGGAAAATTAGAACAAGGCCCTTCGATGAATAATTCACGATCTTGCAAGAGATGCGTTTGCCATCCCAGGGCTCAAGGAAAAGTGAGCAGGGTTTCTTATCTGTTCTGAGACTGCGAAGCATTAGTCAGCTGATAAGCATCTTAAGAAAAGATTATATCTTATCTCAAGTTCCTCCAGTGTTACTTTGACACAATATCTTATGTAATTTATGCAGATGGGTTACTAGACTGACAAATTTTTCTTTCCTTTATCTGGAATCAATTTTAAAATTTTTAGAAATATATGACATGTCAACCTTTACTAACCATGAAAATATAAATACATTAAAATATTCATGATAACAGACATTAACTCATGAAATATATGCTAACAGAAAATCCTAGTGATAGAAAAAAGGTTCGTCCACAAACCAGTCTTCCACTCTTCAACGTCATGCAAACCATCTTATTCTTATGCTTTCAAAACAAAATACAAATGTAAATGATTTGATATACATGAAACAAATAATCTATGCCTTTACATGTCATGCTCTGTAAAACAAGAACACAAAACAAAATTAAATATCCGCTCAGGTACTTCAACTAATATATATATATATATATATATATATATATATATATATATATATATATATATATATATATATATATATATATATATATATATATAAAACCACTAACAAAGGTGTTTCTTCTCGAAATATCATGAAACCCAAAAAATAAATGTATAATACTGAAACTGGCTAAACATACATATAGTAAAAATCAGCAAATAAATAAATAGTTAAGAATGATGAAATCAGAAAAGCAAATAAAATATAAACAAGAACAGTTCAAAATGGAACTAAAACTATTTACAAAAAACATCCAACTATTCAACAAAATGATTACACTTTCCACAATGACATCATAGAAATGTAGTAACCATTTTACCCAACATTCAAATACTTTAATCTAGCTATTCTTCTTTAATAAAGTAATAAGGAAAACAAGCAAAAAGAATGGAACAATACAGTTGTAGAAAAGGTATGAATTAGAATGACTACTTTCACATTACAAGTAATATTATTTCTCATTCATACCTTTTCTACATTTGTCAATATGAGTATAGTTAAATACAATCCTACTGAGACCAGCTGGAGATGAGAAAACAAGAGTAATGACAAAAAAAAAAAAAAAAATCATAATAATATTGATAAAAAACAAAAATCATAATAAAAATTATTTAAAAATATCTAAAATCATAATAGCAATAACAGAAAAACAAACAAACATCACATTGCCTAAAAAAAACTGGTAAAGTAAATTTCCAAAGGCATATATTGTAAGAAAATACCTATGCATAAGCATAAAAAAATACCTTGTGCCAAAGAAAGGGTGTCTGGTTGTGTCAAAGTTGCACTAAAAGTCAAAATAAAAAAATCAGCAAGCTACAAAAAAAAAAAAAAAAATCTTGGATAACTTAGATTACTTATAAAGGACATTATTTTCATGCACCACAATTTATAAGTTATCAAGCTTAGCATGTAGAAGTGCCACAGAAGTAGTAACATGATAGTGGTAACTTAAAATTCCTGCTACAGGCGGCCATTCTTTCAACTGCTAGTGAGGCAATTCAGGAAGAAAGAAATACTAGGCTACCTTGGCTATGTGTTCTATTTCTATGGATGTGTCCAACTGTTCACATGTAGCTTGAAAGACAGGTAACTCCCCTTCAATGGAATGCTGGAAAACAGTAGTACAGGTAAGATACTCTAAGATGTTCAGTGGAAAACGGCTCAACTTACAAAAAAGACCTGTCCCTTTTAAACAGAAATGATCTACATGTCTCCATTGCTCTGTCTAACCCAACTCCAAAATCTAAAACAGATATGAAATTACCAAGAGATCCTAAAACATTCCTTGAACACTTCACCATATGTTTAAGATAAGAAATTTAGCCATTTTCCCTAACCACGAGCTGTTCCTTTCCTTAGATATAATGACTAACACAAATTAATATAATTCCACAATGCAAAAAGGCTGTTCCTTTCCTTAGATATAATGACCAACATAAATTAATATAATTCCACAATACCTTTTTTCTTTTTTTTTTGCAAGAAACGAATGATGTCCCCAATGACTAATTACTACCAAGTTTTTTAAACACTGCCTTTTCAAACAGTCTAGATGCAACTGGGTAGTACATGCAAAGTATTTAACTCATTCACACACTCATTTACTCACTCACATTGAGAAAAATAATGGCTTTAAATGCACCTCTCATTACTCAAAAATGCAAGTTTTCATTCACAGAAGAAAGGACATGGAACCACAAAAGTTCAGATAAAGAAAATTACATTCACGCAGTAACAAAAATCACTGTTGTCCAAAAATCTTTAAAAATTAATGTAAAGCAGGCTTATCAAATATCTCACCATTTACTACAACTAATGAAGAAAAACAAGATGATACTACCAAAGCCAAACCATAAGTTTGATGTAAAAATTATGCCGATGAAATTAATAATATGCAGGATACACATTATGACATCCAAAAACAGAGGTCTCAAAATTAGTATTATCTTTTTCCTTATTTTTTGCATACATGCATACAGCCATGCAAGATATGAACATACAGAAAATAGACACAAGTACACTCTAGTCTTAATATATTATGTAAAAGATAATCAGTCAGTATCATTTAACTGGGGTGAATAATATTCTTCTTAAAGATCCACAAACCCCACTCAACATCAAACAAAAGATTAGCCATAAAAGACTTAGCACCTGTTGCCCTTACTCTCCTAATACCCAACCATCATCCACCCACATTCTTCCCACACCCCAAACATCATCCAACTCTCTAAATCTACGCCAAACCCAAACCGGCACAAAACGCATCACTCTCCAACTTCTTCTATGAGATACTGACCCAGCTCTCCTCGAGGGCCTCTGAGCATGTAGTATCAAGGTCTGGAAAGTCATGCTGCGAGGGGGAAGGGATGGATGACCCCATACTGCTCACAGACATGCTGGTGGCCGAAGAGCTGCTCATACTACCCCCTGAAGCCAGCCATCCCGGAATATCCTGCAAGAGCATAACGAGCCTTTTAAATATTTTGATTCTATCTCTCTGTCTTCTTCCACTTGATGACTACAATCCATTATAAGGACAGGACTGTGTAATCTGTGATTTATTGCAGCTCTATGACTTCACAAGAGAACACTTCTATTCACTTTTAATGAATGACTCAGTAAATTCCTTTAAACTTATACATGATAAAAAAAATAAAAAATACTAAACTCCTACATCATCTTATAATACAGAAATTAAAATACACAAAAATGAATATCCAAGTCAATCATGAGTTAAACAGTCTACTAAACAGTATAAGCTCCCTCACTTCATCCTTAAAAGTATGACATGATCTGAATTTATGACATTTTTTGAAAAGAGGAGAGAGAAAAGCATACAATTCTTTAAAAAAATTAAAAACCTGAAACCTATCCCTCCCCCTTCAAACTCCCCTCAAAGCATTAATACATCAAAATACACCGAGGCACAAGAAGCCACGAACCACAGGAATGGTGAATCGGATGTGCTCCAGTCCCGCGGCCAGCATGAGGAGGAGGTGCGTCCTATGGGGGTCCCTCAGCAGCGCCTGGGACCCGTAGTGCGACCCCAGTAACAGCTGGTGAGTGGTCAGGACGTGCAGGTAGCTCTCCAGCTGTCCCTCGTTCAAGCACAGGCAAATCCACGCACGACCTGAAAATCCAGAATTTTCACTCAAAACTACAGTACTGGACTGTGATATCTGCCTCTTTGTCAGATTATCATAATCATCATCATTTATTCATTCATCTATTCCCTCAGTCCTCACCCTCACTTCCCTCCCACTTACCTCCCTCCCCCTCCAATCTCCCCCTCCAATTTTGCCCTCACATCCCTCCCCCTCCAATCTCACCCTCACTTCCCTCTCCCTTGCCTCCCTCCCCCTCCAATCTCGCCCTCACTTCCCTCCCCCTCTAACCTCACCCTCAATTCCCTCCCCCTCCAATCTCCCCCTCACTTCCCTCCCCCCCAACCTCCCCCTCCAACTTCCCCCTCCAACTTCCCCCTTATTTTCCTCCCCCCAACCTCCCCCTCCAACTTCCCCCTCACTTCCCTCCCCCCCAACCTCCCCCTCCAACTTCCCCCTCACTTCCCTCCCCCCCAACCTCCCCCTCCAACTTCCCCCTTACTTCCCTCCCCCCCAACCTCCCCCTCCAACTTCCCTCGCCCCAACCTCCCCCTCCAACTTCCCTCGCCCCCAACCTCCCCCTCCAACTTCCCTCCCTCCCAAACTCCCCCTCCAACTTCCCTCCCCCCCCAACTTCCCCCTCACTTCCCTCCCCCCCAACCTCCCCCTCACTTCCCTCTCTCTCAGTCCTCCTCTCCCTCCCCCTCCCCCCACCCTCTTGCACCCCCAATCACGTCACTTTCGGGAAAAAAAATAAATAAATAAAAAAAGGAAAAAAAACAAGAGTATAGAGTAAATAAAGAAAGAAAAGACAAAAAAGAAAGCATTAAACAGAAAAGATGAAAAAGAAAAAGAAAAAAAATGGAAAAGATTATATAAACAGACCTAAAAAATGTCCCTTAGGCTGTCACACGTTACCGACCCTTACCACTAACCCTAAAAAAATAAGCAAAAAGCAAAGAACTAAACAAAACAATAATAAAAAATAAAGATAAAAGAATAGAAAGTGAAAAAAAAAGATATCAACAATAAATAAATAAACAATAATCATAAAGTGAAAAAAAAAAAACATAACGACCCAAAAACTACCTACCTAAAATCCCCCCTCCCCCCCCCCCCGCCGCCGCACCCTACCCAGCCGACCCTTAACACTAACCCTAAAGTCCCCTAAAGTACCCTCACGTACCCAGCCCTGACCCCCCCCCCGCCCACCCCCCCTGACCTCCCCTCATCCCCCGCCCACCCCCGCCCGCCCTCTGCCTTCCGCCCGCTGCCCCCGAACCACCAAGCGGCTCTGTCTGCGGAGGGCGCGGGGGAGGGCGGACAATAACAAAACAAGGACGAAAGAACAAAAGACAAAAGAAAGAAAGAAAGAAAGAAAGTAAGAAAGAAAGACAAAGTAAGACAGAAAGAAAGAATGAAATTAAGACAGAAAGAAAGAAAGAAAGAAAGAAAGAAAGAAAGACAGAAACAAACAAACAAAGATAGAAAATAAGAAAGAGAGAAAGAAAGAAAAAAAAAGGTAAAAATACAGATGTATGAGGTGTTTTTCTCTTTTCTTTTCTTTTGTTTGTTTTGATCGAGTGACATGTCACAATAAAGAGGCGCCTTCAAACATACCCAACAAATACAGTGACAAAGGAAGAGCAACTCCCCTGCCCTTTAATTCCTGACCCTCCCTCCCCCCCTTTCCCCCCAACCCTACTCCAAAATTCCCCTCCCCCCCACACCCTCTTCCCCACGTCCAACTCCTTCCTCATCTCCCCCCATCCTTATCCCCCCTCCCTCCTTCCCCACGTAGCCCAACACTCTAGAATCCCCCCCTTTGTCTCTCCCTCCTCCCTCCCTCCCTCACACCCCCATCCTGCTCCCTTCCCTCCCTCCTTTCACCACCCCTCCCTTATACCCCTCATGCCCCTCCCCTCCCTCCTTTCCCCCCATCCCTCGCTCCTTCCCCCTCCCTCCCCCCCATCCTGCCGCCTTCCCTCTCTCCCCCCCCCCTTCCATCCTGTCCCCTTCCCTCCTTTCTTTCTCCCTACCCCTCGTCCCACCCCCTCTCTCACACCCCCATCCTGCCCCCTTTTCTACCTCCTTTCCCCCCCAACCCCTCCCGGCTCCCTCCCTCATGCCCCTCCCCTCCCCCCTCCCTCCTTTCCCCTCATCCCTCGCCCCTTCCCCCTCTCTCCCACACCCATCCTGCCGCCTTTCCCTCCCTCCTTTCTCCCCACCCCTCCCTCATACCCCCTCTTTTCCCCCCATCCTCCCTCCCTCCCTCCCACCCCCATCCTGCCGCCTTTCCCCCCTACCCCCATCCCTCCCTCCAGCTCCCCCCCCTCGCGCCCCTACCTCTGGTGAGCGGCTTGGTGGCGTAGGGCAGACTCATGACGGTGGCGAGGGTGTCCTTGTCGAGCAGCGAGGCCACGACGGGCCAGTAGCCTTTGTTGAGGGCGTGGAGGCCGTGCAGGAGGGCGGCGTCCAGGCTCAGCACCAGCCACCGCCCCGTGCACGCGCGCACGCACCCGACGCCGCACCATTCCAGCTGGGCCTGAAATAGGGGAAGGGGAGGGGGGGAGGTTAGTGAGGGTCCCTGGGGATTGTGATTAGATGTGTGCTATAAGTACTATTCTAGTTCGTGTTATTAAGTTCGATTCTAGTTCGTGTTATAAGTTCTATTCTGGTTGTTATAAGTTCTCGTTCGTGTTATAAGTACTAATCTAGTTCGTGTTAAAAGTTCTATTCTGGTTGTTATAAGTTCTCGTTCGTGTTATAAGTACTAATCTAGTTCGTGTTATAAGTTCTATTCTGGTTGTTATAAGTTCTCGTTCGTGTTATAAGTACTAATCTAGTTCGTGTTATAAGTTCTATTCTGGTTGTTATAAGTTCTCGTTCGTGTTATAAGTACTAATCTAGTTCGTGTTAAAAGTTCTATTCTAGTTCGTGTCATAAGCTCTATTCTAGTCCGTGCTATAAGTTCTATTCTAACTGGTGTTATAAGTTCTATTCTGGTTCGTCTTAAAAGATCAATGCCGGTTGTTTTTGTAAGTTCTATTCCGGTTGTGAGTTGTAATTTTCATTCCTATCGTGTTGTCCCTTCTATTCAGGTTGTGTTATAAGTTCGGTTCCGGGTTGTGCTACAGGCTGTGTACACTGCCGCCCCGAGATCTGTTCTGATTACGGCTGCGTTGTAAAAATTTCCCCTTGGATTATGCTATGAAAGTCCCGCTTCAGTAGACTTTTTAAAATCAAAAGGCCTAATATGACTGGGTGTTACATCCTCATTACCTTTTCTTATTCTTTTACGTTCTTATCTTATTTCTTTTATTTTATTTTTTTTAATGACCTCCATGTTATTACAATCTTTCTGGGACATCTAAGCTTACACACGAAGCACACTCACAGCTCCACCATCCCTTCTTCGATTATTTTCTTTGTTTGGGAGGGAGTACATAATTCTGATGATGGTAATGAAAATAATTTTAAAAAAGACTATATAAATTATGCTTCATAGCATATAAACACGTTATATTATAATGTTATATGAAAAATAATTGGTGAATTCTATTAACCATATTTTCAAATGAAATTGTCAGTAATAACGACATCATCAATTGTCCTAACAACAACAACAACAACAGCAACAACAAATGGTACCCCAGATTAACTTGAATGTATGCAAATGTGTCCGTATTTGCATATCTATGTATAGAAAAAGTTGTATATATCCATGTATATGTTTGTTTATTTGTCTGTACATGCAAACGTATAGGCTATATTTGCGTATGTGTATGTGAATATAAGTGTGTGTGTGTGTGTGTGTGTGTGTGTGTGTGTGTGTGTGTGTGTGTGTGTGTGTGTGTGTGTGTGTGTGTGTGTGTGTGTGTGTGTGTGTGTGCGTGTGTGTGTGCGTGTGTGTGTGCGTGTGTGTGTGCGTGTGTGTGTGCGTGTGTGTGTGCGTGTGTGTGTGCGTGTGCGTGTGTGTGTGCGTGTGTGTGTGCGTGTGTGTGTGCGTGTGTGTGTGCGTGTGTGTGTGCGTGTGTGTGTGCGTGTGTGTGTGCGTGTGTGTGAGCGTGTGCGTGTGCGTGTGTGTGTGTGTGTGTGTGCGGGGTTGCGTGTGTGTGTGCGGGGGTGCGTGTGCGTGTGTGTGGGCGCGTGTGCGTGTGCGTGTGTGTGGGCGCGTGTGCGTGTGTGTGGGCGCGTGTGCGTGTGTGTGGGCGCGTGTGCGTGTGCGTGTGCGCGTGCGCGTGTGCGTGTGTGTGACTATTCAGTGTAAGCGTGAGTGTTGAGTGTACATGCGAGCCTTTTTGCCCGTCAATCTATATCATAGAGCTGTCTCCAGGCCTGTCTAAACTCCCTTGAGTGAGTGAATGACTGTTTGCGTCTTTCGTGTGTGTGTGTGTGTGTGTGTGTGTGTGTGTGTGTGTGTGTGTGTGTGTGTGTGTGTGTGTGTGTGTGTGTGTGTGTGTGTGTGTGTGTGTGTGTGTGTGTGTGTGTGTGTGCGTGTGTGTGTGCGTGTGTGCGTGCGCATGTGCGTGCGCGTGCACGCGTGTGTGTTTTATGTGTTGTGTATGTAAACATATACGATGTCTACATAAGCTAGCGAGACATTCCTGAAGAAGCGACAGAAGGCAGAATGAGTGAATAAGACCACAGAAAACGAGCAGATGAATAAATATGAGTGTGCAAGTAAGCATGACCACAAAAATCATGCGAGAGAAAATGACGTAACTAAGTTAGTATGTTCACATGCAACCAAACTTGAGATAATCGTCTCTCTCTCTCTCTCTCTCTCTCTCTCTCTCTCTCTCTCTCTCTCTCTCTCTCTCTCTCTCTCTCTCTCTCTCTCTCTCTTTCTCTCTTTCTCTCTTTCTCTCTTTCTCTCTCTCTCCCCCCCTCTTTCCCTCCTTCCATTCCTCCCTATTTCCCTTCTCTCTCTCTCCCCCTCTTTCCCTCTTTCCATTTCTTCCTCTTTCCCTCCCTCTCTTTCTCCTTTTCGCCCTCTCTCGCTTTCTCCTTTTCGTTTTCTCTCCCTCTCTCCCTTCCTTCCTTCCTTCCTTCCTTCCTTCCTTCCTTCCTTCCTTCCTTCCTTCCTTCCATCCTTCCTTCCTTCCTTCCTTCCTTCCTTCCTCCCTCCCTTCCTTCTTTCCTCCCTTCTTTCCTCCCTCCCTCCCTCTTAAACACCTTCAAAAATCTCTTCCACACCCAAAGAATCGTCAACGGTAACGATTCCCTCCCAGTGAAAGATCCTAACAACCCACAAGAATAACAGGATAACAGAGGGAAGAGGCACAGAGGGAAGAGACAAAAAGGGAAGAGGCACAGAGGGAAGAGACACAGAGGGAAGAGGCACAGAGGGAAGAGACACAGAGGGAAGAGACAAAGAGGGAGGAAGCACAGAGGGAAGACACACAGAGGGAAGAGGCACAGAGGGAAGAGACACAGAGGGAAGAGAAGGGAGGAAGGCACAGAGGGAAGACACACAGAGGGAAGAGGCACAGAGGGAAGAGACACAGAGGGAAGAGGCACAGAGGGAAGAGACACAGAGGGAAGAGGCACAGAGGGAAGACACACAGAGGGAAGAGGCACAGAGGGAAGACACACAGAGGGAAGAGGCACAGAGGGAAGAGACACAGAGGGAAGAGGCACAGAGGGAAGAGGCACAAAGGGAAGAGACAAAAAGGGAAGAGGCACAGAGGGAAGAGACACAGAGGGAAGACACACAGAGGGAAAAGACACAAAAAGAAGAGGCACAGAGGGAAGAGACACAGAGGGAGGAGGCACAGTCAACTCTCTCTCCCAAAATTCACGGCACGACACTCGCCTATACGCCATGAGTCACCCACAATGCTCATAGACGCAGTTAACACCGCGGCACTCAGGCGACACAACATCGCAAAATCATTACGCAGTGTTTACTTTCGCCTTTTTTGTGTGAACTTAAAGAAAATAATCAAAGAAAAAAAATATCTATATATTGTGGAATGTGAAGTAAAATTTCGACTTCATTATTCGCGAAAGAAATAAAAGAACGAAGAAAAAATACAGGAAATGCCAAGGACTAGAGAGAGGAGAGGGGAGATGAGGGGGGGATGGGGGAAGAGCAGAGGGGAGGAGAGGGGAGGAGAGGAAGGTGGAGGGAGTGAGCGGAGACGAGAGAAGAGAAGGGGAAAGAGCAGAGCAGAGGAGAGATGAGAAATAGGAAAAGATTTTTAAAAGAGGAAAAAAGATAAGCGAAAACAAAAGATAAAAAGAGAAAAGATACAGGAGATTAGAGAAGAGATTAAAAGCACAAATCCCGCTACCATATGAGCTCTAAAACAGCTGTTCTTAGCCAAACAATACACGCCAGGGCAGAAGACACGGGGGCTCTCATACGCCACAGACCACGGACGCAAAAAGAAGAAAAAAAAGGAAAAAAAGAAAAAAAAAATATACAAAATAATAAATAATGAAAGACGATAACAATGATAAGACACAGAGGAAGGAAATACTGATAAATAATTCATGATGATATCTTGTCTCTTTCCGAAGAAGAAGAAAAAGAAGAAAAAGAAAAAATAGGAGGCAGATAAAGACAGAAAGAAAAAGAAAGAAAGAAAAAAAGCTCGGGAAAACGGGCTTTGACGACCAGCATATCCTTCTAATCCCATCCTCCTGCTCCCTCCCCCCTCACCCCCCCTCCCTCATCTCTCACCCCCCCTCCCTCATCTCTCACCCCTCCCTCCTTCATCCCTCCCTCCCCTCCCTCATCTCTCACCCCTCCCTCCTTCATCCCTCCCTCCCTCCCTCGCCCCTCCCTATCTCCTCATCCACCTTCCCCGCCCTTTCACTGTTTCATTAAGCCCTCTTAAACACTCCTTCCTCCCTCTCCCCCTCCCCCCAATCCCCTTCCCATTAACCCTGCCCTATACTAACCTCCCTCCCTCTCCCCTCCTCCCTGCCCCTTTTATCTCTGCCTTTCTCCCTCCTCCCTTTCACTCCTTTCCTCTCTTCCCTCTTCCCTTCCTCCGCCATTTTAACTCCGTCCTTCTCTCTCCTCCTTTCTTCTTCTCCTTCTCTTGACTTCATTCTTCTCCCTCCCTTTAACCCTGCCTTTCTCTATCGTTCCCTTTTAGCCACGTCTTTCTCTTCTTCCCTTTCTCTCTCTCCCTCCTTTAAACCCCATCCTTCTACCTCCTCCCCACCCCCTCTCTATTTCCCCCTCCCCTTCTTTCCATTTCTTTAACTTAAGCATTTATTCATCTTTCTATTTTCTTCTCCTCTCCATTCCCTCTCCATATTTTTCCTCGTCCCTCTTGTCTCCCTCCCTTCCTCCCCCATTCTAACCCCGCCTTTTTCTCCCCTCCCTCTTCCCTCCCCACTCCTCCACCCCCTCTCCACTTCCCCGACACCCTCCCCTCCCCCTCCTCCCTTTCACCCACCCCCTTCCCAGGCCTCATCTCACCCGAGGAGGACCTTTTGACATACGAAACTCAATCGTCATATGCCATCTTCCTTCGCCCTTTTTTATCGGCGAGAATCAGGTCAAAGAATAACCAGCCCCTTATT